GGATTAGATGAACAAGTAACTCCTGTTGTCAGTGCTGTAGGATCAAGGAGAAGCGCATTGCGTTTCTTGCATGTTCAGCACTGAATGTTTGCCTAAACTTCAGAAGGCCTTTACTCCTGTATTAAATCAGTGCATTGCTGCTACAGGATTAGCCAGGGCTTTGCTCCACTACTAACAGTGATGACTTTGAGATATATATATAAATTGTGTCCTGTGCTAATATCAATATCGCTATCTCAAAGAAGCAGCATGATGATGAAGCTGACGTGAAGCAGCTAAAGCCAATATGCGTCATTCGCCTTGCATCTGTAGAGAGGAATGTGTGACTACAGACTCTTGTCATTCAGTTTTCAAGGCAGGTGCACAAAGAGGGAGCGTTTTTAGTGCGTTGTATTTATCTCCGAGTGCGTTGTGTGACTTCCTGTTCTAGGGTAGCATTTATCAGATGGAAATGTCCGTGTTTTTCAAGGAGGTTTTCAATTCAATAGCTGTGCTTATCACCTGTGGACTAACATGATACATCTGTTTCCTGTAGGATGCAGTGTTCCCTGCACCTGCAGAGGAAGGTCAGTGTCTGCAGGGAAGTCTGGTCTTAGGTTGCTTCTGTAATGATGAAGGTGCTTCTGCTCGCTCTGGAGCCTGCCATGTCCAGGAAGGCCCAGGTCCAGGGAGGACTCGGTGCGATGTGCCTTCTGAAATGGTGTGAGCAGCCTCAGTTACCCTTTGTGCGGAGAACACTTTCGAGGAGAGCAGGACTTTGTAAGACTGAGGCTCAGCTGAGATGAGTTTAAATCTGTCGGCCCCAGTGCTTGATTGAAGAAGCAGAAGGTGCCAGGCCTTGGCAAAGTAACTGCTTGTGCCAAAGTACCCAGTGTGGAGCAGGAGGTTCGACACCTGCCTACCCCAGCATGGGAATTGGTAGTGAGGAAGATAACCAGCTGGAACATTAAATTGCTTTTTCCCCTCTAGTTATTCACTGGTTAGATGTGTTGGCCCAGAAGAGATCCCTTAAGGTGCTTAGGAAGTGTGTGAGTGCTGATGTTGCTGCTCTTGCTGCTGATCTGGATAATTTCCCAATGGCCGGATCGTTCGGCTCTGAAGCCAAGTCCCCAAAGCCGTGTCCCTGTTCTGGATGTCTCGTGCTGAAGACCCATGTTCCGTGTAGGCCTCCCTGCCTGTAGGGGCCTCCGGCGCTGTGCCCGCCCGGCCTGGCTGTCCTCACGTGTTACAGGCCTTGGGCAGGGCTGGCCTGAGCTGAAGAATGATGTGTCCTGAGGGGGAAGGAGGAGTCCTTGAGAAGCATTACAGTCAGTTAAAGGGGAAAAAAATGAGTGGAGAACCCATCAGTGGAGAAGGGTAGAGCAGTACAGTGTCTGTGCAGAGACTAGGGGAGGGATCAGAAGGGTTGAGGGGGAGGTCATATCCCCCTGGCATCCTAGGAAATAGTTTGGTAGAAAAAAATTGGTGCTTTTCCTACCCTTTCACAGAAGGTAGCCACAAAAGTGGTTGGGTTGAACATGTGGCTTTTGTGCTTCTCTCATGTTGATGGAGTTGGGCAAACGTGTGAAGAACTACTGAGACTGGGCGAATGTGGTGGTCAGAAGCTGCAGCAGCGGGGCATGCTCGTCGCCTGTACTCACCCTGGTTTCACACCTTCAGTTCCCAAACGCAGCCAGCAGCTGCCCATAAGTGGGTTAATGTCACTCTGAGGAGTGTTCATCCTGGGCCCGGTGCTGTGTTTCACTGGAGTGGTAGTGGTGGGCAGAGGCTGCGAAAGGCTAAACATGGGCCAGTGCAGTTCCCCTTGTTGGCGCTTGCCCCCTCGCAAGACACAGTGTAGAAGGCATGATGTGCTTCACTTAGAAGGAAAGTTATCATACTAGATGTAGATATTTTTAGGATATTTATTGAAAGAAATCTAGTTTATCTGCCTCTTCTCCCCCAGCCCTGAGCATATTTTTTGTTCTGATTTGTTGTCTTTTTTTAAAGCTCAGCCAGTAAGAGTCAGGTCAACTTTCAAGTTGGCCAACAATGTTTCCAGTGTTCCTGGAGAAAGTTAAGGGCGACACAGAACAGTCTTTTTTTTTTAAAGCAAAATTTTGATCTTACTGTATTTTGTGTAAGTTCTCGTAATGTTCCAACAGCTACACTTCTGGAAATGTGCACGGTCAAAGCCAGAAATGACATGATCAACTGCATCTCTTCATGCTTCTCAGTGCCTCTGCTGAATGCTGTATGCAGTGGTGTGCCTTTCGTTTGTCAGTCTTAGTCCCTGTCTGGGCAGCCAGCAGCATCCTTCAGGCTGTGAAGTCAGTCACTTGCGTGGATCGCTTTTACTGTGCATTTTTAAAGCCTGGTGTTGAAGAGTAGGAGGTGGTTTTGAATCAAACCACAAACATCATTTTTCAAACTAAAGAATGTGATTGTCCAGTCAAGAGAGAACTTTGGTTGTCTCAGACCTGCTCTCATGCTACAGAATTCCTGGCATCGTCTCTGCTCATGCATCTTGTGGGCTCAGATCTTTAAGTTGGTGGCAAGCTCGTATGCCTGAGCATGCCTGCATAGTTTGCCTGTCTGGTTGTCACTGTGACAAGCAAGAAACATTAGACCAGTTTGTTTTTGCCTAAGGCCGTAGCAAATGGACATTGACAGTTTTCACTCAGATGATGCCTTGGCATTTTTATGGCCAGTAATATTTTGGTTAGAAGATGTTGAATATTGAATATGCCTGATTTTTTGAGCTGCTTCTAATTCTCCTGTTTTCGCCTACTTGGGAGGAGAAGTAATCTTAAAATCTCTTACATGCTAGCAGACTTGCTATTTGTGATATCAGATTTTAGCATCACTTGGCCAAGCATGATTTTGTCAGTATTTTAGGGCCGAATATAGCAAGCCTTGTATTTTCAAGCAGTATAACTTCTATTTCTAGATACGTTGCTTTCTTAGAGCATCTGTCAAGCCATGTCCAGAGGGAAATGGCAGGAATACTGTTACAATGCAAACACAATGGCAGAATTAAGAACTGCTGCTGGACTTTGGTTTCAGGTTATGATGGGTTTTAAGCAAGTTCTCAGTCCTCACATTTTCTTATACAAACATGTTTTCATTTGTGTGCAGTAAGACTGCTGGGAGCTCCTTTTGAAATAGGGATGGGAATTTTTTTTTCAGGAAAGTGGAGGAGACCAAATGCAGTCCAGTTTAAAAAAAAAAAGGCAGATTACATCTACTTTGCCATTGGTAAGATGCTGTCTCACAAGGTGAACTGTATACTGATACTTGCAGTGCTTCATGTTCTCAGTGTGAGCATGGAATTTCCCCTCACATCCTAGTTTTACATTTATGGATGCTGGTGCACAGGAAGGGATTGGCCATATAAAGGGCAGCCCTTGTTTAAATGCTCAAGCAAGGAGTATATTTAGAAGCTTTCTTGTCATTTCTGCCGAAGGAATCAAATAGGTTTCGTACTCAACACTGCTTACACATGCAGTGCAAAATTGCCTTGATGCAAATAGGTCATAAGCTTGTCCTTTTTTTTGATTTCTTAATTAAAAGGCTCCAGCAGTAGAACATGAACTTTGCTTAGGCAAATCTAAAACAAAATCCAAAGCCTCTGTCCTCTGGTTCAGCTTTTGGTATGGAGAAATTAAAGTCAAATGTGAACAGTCTAGTTGTAGAGCATTGCATATATGGTGAGAGGGCAAGAGGTGTTTGCTTGTGTCCCGGGTAAGAGTAGGCTTTCAGCCATCTCCTCTTAGGCGAAATGAGCGCCAGATGCAGCTTCTCCTCTAGTATCTGTTCTGTGCTACCAACCAGGTGTGTTTGCTTATATGATGCTAATTTTCAGTTTTCCTCCTTGATCTGTTGAGTAGAGCAGAAGTGCACACACATGCAGGGGGATTAACACTGTGTGTATCTTCTCTATGCTGGATTTTAACTTTCTTTAGACAGCCCTGATATTCTTGAAGAATTTGAGTTTTTGGTGGGGCACCAGTTAGGCCAATTTCCTATTGCCTAGTTTATAGTCTAAAACAAAACGAGTTTTGCCCCTCAATATGCTGATAATGGACTGCAGCTACTTGAACTTTGGGTGCGATAGTGGTAAAATGTCAACTGTTTTAAACTTTTGAGCCATTTATGTGAGTCATGAGGTAAGCCAACGCGTTTTGAAGAAGGGAAGTGGTGTAACGGTAGTTTGGAGTTTCTCAGTATCAGGTACTACAGGTCGATCCCTAACCAGGAACTAGTCCCAGAGCTCTGCAGCAAAGGAGAAGCCTGCTAACAGGCTTTTAAGGTCCTGAACTCCCTATGGCAGGGGAGTGAACCTTAAAAGGTAGAAACAGGAGGAGGAAAAGAAGAAGAAAAAAGCATTTTCTGTTTTGCACAAGCAGTGAATCCAGTGCGGATGAGCCACATGTCAGGAGTTTGCCTCTGTATGGAAGCACTTCTCCCTGTGGGTGGGTGAGCTATTGCTGAATTTATAAGGGAATCTGTTTCTAGAAAATGTTATTTATTGCAAATGATAACATATTGTAACTAGAACCATTTCTGAGCTGGAAATACTACATTTATGTAACCCTACTAATAAAGTTTTGTCTTTCCTTCTAGGAAGTTGTCAGGTTCTCTTTTTTATGTGGTAGGATTCTGAACTGGACTCAACAATCAGGTCAGAATAATAAATATGGTTGTGTAACATAATTTATGTCTGTGCTCCAACCTAAAAGCAGTGTAATATCTGACACTGACTAAATCAAAGTATTCTGTATTTTCTTACTTAATTTTTCTTTTAATCCTGAAGTAACATAATTCAGTGAACTGGGTAAGAGGCCCAAAAAATCTCCCTGCAGTTTATAGTAGGAGTTTACATGTGTTGGCTTTTCTGTCCTTGACTTAATCAAGCAATTGAGCATTCATAAATATTTAACAGCTGTCAGGCTCAGAAAGA